CGACGGAGTGTGATGCCAGCGAGAAATTTAGAGGCAATACTGAACAATCTAATTCCTCTGTGGCTTTCACAAGAGGATCTGTCACCTTTCTTGCAAATCAGTATGATCACCGATTCACATCATTCAATTGGGACTCGTTCGCTTTCTCATATCGACTCCTAGAGATTCGTCAACTCAAAGATCAACGCTAAACCTCTATCCTTAAACGCCGAAGGGAGCAACCCATCTGGGCCGAATTCCTTATATCTTTTGAGATAACTTGTTTCCCGGGAAACCTCCATTTCAGATGGATGACTGGCATAAACGGGGAGAATAACCCAGTCGAGGTGGGGGTGATAGGTCAGATATCGATGCGGGCCAGTTGAACTGAGCCACCAAATGTTCAGCCCATCGATCAAGAAGGCGTTGCTGATGGTGAATCAGTGTGCCACTGGGTTCCTTAATTACCTAACTTTTACCTGTTCCTGGGGCCAGTATTCGTAGTAAGACGGAAAAGATTACGACTATTAACAATAGTCGCAGCTTTCTCCATCCATCTACACTTTCTTACCCTCTATTTCTTGCGGTTAGACTCTTGATGAGCTGGAGTTTAAGGGATTTACGCACTGTAATAGTTGGTATTAGGAAGAACGGTTTTGCGGGCGTCCAGTACCTCAGCCGAGGTCGATGCGATCCATTGTTTGTGTTTTGAGCCTGCGCCAGAGTCCGCCATTGGTTTAAACGATATTTGCGTAGCTAATTTGATTTGCTTCGTGTTCATTGGGCCTTTCGGTTAGTGGTTGAACAGATAGGCAATCGGAGAGCTCCGCTTCGAACGCCGATTTGCAACAATCGCTGACGTTGAATTGCGCGAATTCGTTGTCGGTGGATGTATTTCGGTTGTTTGACAGGCATAAGAAGAATTTGGCTCGTAGCAGAGCATGGCCCGTGTCTACCGGTGTTGACCAGTGAGAGCGGCAGTCCTGAATCGACCCCTTTGGGCAGTGATTGATGGCGATATGATCGATTTGGGTCCAGTGCTGTGAAGAGGTTGGCGGTTTCCATGTAAAGCGGTGTTGCTTCTTGTGCGAGAAGTTGGTGCGTGTTAGGAACAAACCGTAGTCCGCGTAGATTTGAAGTAGGCGATCTCCGTTGTCCGTCCGGCTGGCTTAGATTGCATGTGGCCCGACAACAAGCCTTTCTGACTCATCCAGAGATACAATTTCAGCACTGAAGTCCCCAATGACTACTAAGGCGTCCGTTGATCGAACACTCTGGAGTAATTGAGAAAGATCCTTTTAGAATTTATCTTCGATTTCAGGTGTACTGTAATCGGTCAGTGCATACACGGATACGACGAATAAGCATCAAAGCATCGACGCTTCGTTCTGTAGATATTCACCCGTACTGAAGCATCCAGACGTACAGCGCCCAGTCGGCTACTGAATGGAATCCAGTTAAGAAGCAAGCGCTCAGCCTTGGCACAGCTCAATCATGACACCAGTAACACCAGGAGTGTCGGATGCCGAATTGACACACGAAGGGTGAAGTGTGAGGATGAAGTTGAATCAAGAGAACGCAGAGAGCCGAATGAAATAGGGTCTTGTATGCGAGTTTCGGAGAGTGGAAATGTGGACAGAGAGACAAACATTCAACAGTGGAATATCGAACGTGACTTTTGTGCCCTGTGGCAAGTACGTAAGAAGCATTAGAAGACCTTCACATGTTATTTCCCGAAAGACC